GTGCTCCGCCGCTGCTCCTGGACCCGCAGCGCAGCATCCCCGCAGCCAAGCGAGGACCGAGAGCCGTAGCAGTGGTTATCCTCCATCTTGGAGCATCTCCCCCAGCGGTACTCACCACTCGCACGCGCTCATCCTCCCCGCGAGGCGTCTCGGCGGTCGGTGCGATGCCCGGCGACGCGCTGGAGGTCTCGGGGAGGGGGCAGATGGAGGCAGCCCTGGTGGCAGTCAACCAAAAGGGTCCCGTTGAGCTTCCCGTTGCTCCACATCAAGCGAAGGTCAGGGTCACCACTCGAAAGTGGTGGTCTGGCGTCGCAGACGTAAAACAAAGGCACCAAGACTTCCCTGCCACTATCTTTGAGCCAAATGGTTTTAGGCACTGCTGCCTCGGTCACATCTGATACTTGACGGGAGCTTCTGGGCTCCACCGTGGTGCTAATAACAAGGATTGAAATTTATTCTTCTTGCTTCAATCCCCTCTCTATTATATTTTTTTTAAAATCCACAAAAAATATTTTATAACTATAATCTGGAAAAAAAAGACCCATAGACCAAAGTAGCCATAAGAAGACCACGGGTTTGGTGTCGGGCTTTTGCATCGGTTGAGATCCAGCCAGAAATGTCGGGGGCCCTTCAACACCTCTGCCTTCGAAACACCTCAGATTTAATTTTAGCTGAGGCCTTAAATCCTTTTTGGACTTGAGGCACACAATTAGAAAACACGTACTCCTGAACTAGACGCCTTGTCTTGGGACTTTTGGCCATGATGTTAAAGAGATTTATAACAGAGGATGGCAATTGAGGGCATTCATTTTGTGAGCTTTCACTTGCCAAAAAGCACTTTAAACTTTCCTTCAATGCTTATATACTTACTGTTTATAAATGGCTGACAGCAGGAGGTTATCTTCAACTAAAGCTTTGATACGGAGATTAAAGGCGCCATAACAATATGATTGATCAACTGATAGATAGATTGATAGTTAGAGCAAAGGCATTATCCACCCTATGGATCAGACTCTATCATTCCCTTTATGACATATTTCTAAAAGTAATTCATCAAAAGCTTTTCCGATAGCCTCACCAATCTCCTGCGAAATTCCACTTACCCAAAAGGTTTGGCAACTGTCAAGCTAAAAGTCCATTTCTTGCTGGAATTTTCCCCCTCCCTTATGGAACTGATCTGTCCCCAAATATCCTCCTCAAATGGCTGTCATTCTTAAATGGCTCATTTCCTATTGTGGGGCAGGAGAGCTGCTGCAGTAGATAACGATCTGAAAAACGAGCTGTTCAAAAGGAAATTGCAAAATAAGACCCAAATCCAAATATCAGTCGCAGGCAGCTGCTTTGCTGAGACGGGGGCCGGTGAGATCGAAGAGGCGATACGCATCTGTGCATTGAAATATCTAATTTGAAGATAACAGCCAGTAAGATGCTGGCAGCACATGTACTTTCTCGGTGTATCAGGTAACCTGCTGCGTGCCCCCCTCTCGCCAGCCCCCAGGATATTAACCCTTTCTCGAGCCAGACGCCCTATTGAAGCCAAGGCTTGTAAAGAGCTCCTACTCACCTGGTTATGGAACAGTGGATTCAAGACATCTACGTTCAATCTGAAGGTAAACAAAATCAGGGAAATGACTCAAATTATTGTTAATCCTGTTTGAGTCAGGCCTCGCCGCCCCAGGTTAAGGCTCAAGCTCAGGCTGGCAGCGCCGCGTGCCCGCGGGCATCCCTCAGTGTGGACACCAGACCCAGCTCTGGTCCAGACATACAACCCCTCTGTTTTCCAGACCCCTCTGCTTCCGGGGCCATCGCGTGCAACGGCCTTTGGAGTGCGATATCCAACGGCGTCTTACCTGGGGGACCAGAGCTTTCCACACCTTCCCTTTCCTGCAGGAATGGGGCGTCAGGGGCCTTAGAGGGAGCAGGAATTAAGGACGTTTCGGCAGCATTTTCGGTGGCCGTGCAGCCGCAGGGGTCCGGCAGTGCAGAGGTGCTCGCTGGCTCGGTGCCGGATGCGGTCTCACTCTACCCTGATGGCGATGGCAGGAACGAGCCCACATGAGGTTCCATGACGCTTCTCCTCCGTCAACTGGCTCATTTAAATATATTTGGGTGTTTCTCTGCTGTTCTGCAGCCATTTCGGATCCAGGGCTGGGTACGCTGTATCCCCCCAGGTGGCTCTCTTCAGAGGTGTCCCCCCTCTCGCTCTGTCATCCAGCAGCTTTGTGCTAAAACGCAGCTGAGCTTGGGCAGAGTAAAGTGGTCCCCGAGGGGAGAGAGCTCTGCCCGGCAGTGGTGGAGCTGGCTCAGCCCCAGGCAATTCAGCTGCCACCCAAAAAATGCCCTGGGTGCTTCCAGGTAAAAGTCTTCTATAGGGGTAAAACATCCTAAATCGTAAGGGACGTGGTCTCAGACCTGGCAGGCCTCCTCCTGCCCATTTTCTGAAAAAATTTTCTGCTCAGTAGTAACTTGTGGCATCACTTAATCCTGGCAGACCCGCTCTTGTTGGTCCACAGCCGATTTGGGGAGCGCTGGGCCGCCGCTCCATAGGAACTGATTTTGCAGCTCTTGCACTGAAAGTGTGTTTCGGTGCCGGAGACGCCCCGCAGCAGCCTCATCTCTCCTGTGCTTCTTCCCTGGTGGGAGATGGGCAGAGAGTGAGAGACCCACCTTCCTGTGGGGTCCCTGACTCATGGGGACAGTGCCGGCTGGCACTGAGACATCTCCATCACCCCCACGCTCCCATAGCAAACCTCTCCCCAGGAGATAACAACCCATCATCTTGGTGAATCCCCCCAGACTTCCTGAAGGCAAAGAGCAGACAGGCTCCTGAGAAGCTCTACGTACCCTCAGCTGCCAGGCACCGGCAGGGTTCACCCCCAGGAGCTGCATCACAAGTTGGGGTCCCCTGCCAGGTCCACATCTCCATCACCCCCACGCTCCCATAGCAAACCTCTCCCCAGGAGATAACAACCCATCATCTTGGTGAATCCCCCCAGACTTCCTGAAGGCAAAGAGCAGACAGGCTCCTGAGAAGCTCTACGTACCCTCAGCTGCCAGGCACCGGCAGGGTTCACCCCCAGGAGCTGCATCACAAGTTGGGGTCCCCTGCCAGGTCCCCGCCGTGGGTCGGTTGCTGCCCACATTTCCCCCCATCCCCTGGGACCGCAGGGACCACGCTGTCCATCAGCTCCATCACACGGGATTTTAGTCCTGCCTTGCCCACAGCTTCTGTGCCACAGGTAAATATTTAATTGAAGCTTGTTTGGTTGGGTTTTTTTTTAAATGGCTGCTCGCTATTGCAGGTTTCACTCTTTCAAGTGCTCAGTGATGTATAAAGAGATTAACAGGTGGGAGAAGTATTTGATAAACAGAAAAAAAGCTTTTCAGGAAATGCTACTTGGGTGTGATTTGAATCAGTCAGACCTAATCGTGGAAGTGGCTGAACTAAAGGAAATATGTTAAAAAAAAAAAAAAAAGAGAAGATATTTTTAGCCTGAAAGAAGGTTTCTTAAAATGAGCAAAGTGCTGTACGCCGAGCCAGTGAGAGGCAGGTTTTCTGCACGAGGTGTGTAACCCATTTCGAACGTATCCCAGGGCAAATGTGAAAAGCTGAACGGGGTAAGATGTATTTTATGGCATCTGCTGCCGGGAAGTGCCACAGGACCAGACAGAGGCCATAGAGCACATAAGACCTGGGGTGTTCCAGCAGCTGGCAGGCACGTTCCGTTACATCTCTACTGAATTCAAGTGCTTTTTCTGCTGTTTTATGAACAAGATGGATTCCCCCAGTCTTATAAATAATTCCACATGTTTTGCTCTGTAACTCTGGGCTCTCTCGGCCGCATTGGGGGTGCCGTGACAGCAGCACGGGTGCCCCAAGCGCAGGGATTTCATTTTCGATGCACGGTGCCACCTCCCAGTCTGCATACGCCGCGTATTTCAAACGTTGAGAAATAGCTAGGAGTGTGTATGAGGCAAACCATTTTTTCCCAGTTTTCTGGAGAAATACGTCCGACTCTTGCACTGGCTGTCAAGAGAACGAGAAAAAAAAAAATTTGTTTGCCTTGAAATAAAACTTTTTATTTACCTTTAAGAGTTTGGGGTTTAAAATCTCTTCTGAAATAACTAAATAAAAGAAGAAACAGATATGCTTAACTTAAAAATTTTCTAAGTGAAAAGGTTTGGTCTCTTTATTTCTTTAATCTTCAGATTTTAATGCTGAAGCTACTGTCACGAGTTTGCAGATTATTATGATCCAATTGGGGATCTTTTCCAGTAAATAAACTATTTGCCTTAAAGTATTCAGCTTGTCTGTGCTCCAGCTCACACTCACGTTTATCGCAGAAGCCCAATGACCCTTCAGGCTGGATTTTCTTACAGGATTTTCGTGTTATAAACCATGTCCGTGACAATCGACTCGCTGCTTTCAGCTGATCTGGCACTCGCTGCAGTTGGTTTTGTTTCAGGAGGTGTTTTTTGAAATCCCTGCCATGAATACAAGATTAGGACGGGAAGGGAGGCCAGTGCACTGAACTGAATCTTAAAAGGGAGATAGATAACAGCTTTTATACAAAGTTACTCAGTAAAAAAACTGCAGCAAACAACCCGGGCATGGGGAAGCGCAGGGAATTTGCACTTGACTTGGGAAAAAACAGCTGCATCTGCCATCAGCATCGACTCCCCATCTCCATTCTCCAAAGGAACCTCCGATCAGATTTTTTTAAGCTTAAGCTCCCTGCGAAGCCACGGAGAGGAGGGGCCCGGCAGCATCCCCCAGGGATGGAGACACAAGACCCCCACACCAGGAGACATGAGTCGGCTCCTCCTAGGGCCGTCCCCACCAGCCAGGCTTGCTGGTGGCCACACTGGGCTCCCAGCCCTGTGGAGACCTGTGCCTCACTGGGAAGGACTTTGATTTCCTGGGCGAGGGCTTTGATTAGACACAATGGCCTAACCAAGATAAATAGAAACTTGATTAGCACAGCGCCGAGGGTAGAAACCCCGTTAATTACATGAATGCTCCTTACTGGGTAAAACTCCTGCTTTTGTGGCTCCCATCACCAGTTCTTACAGTGCATAAACATGGAAAACAGCCACGAGGACGACACAGCATCCCTGTCCGAGAGATGGAGACAGCCAGGAAAGCCTCACCTCCCCCCACTCGCCTCCCCTCCGTATCTGAAGGCCTTATTAGTTCATTAGCACTTTTTATTTGCGTTCAGCAACGCTTAATGAGACGGCCATCCCGTGTCAGACAGAAATCAGCCGCCGGGGAAGAGCCCATTAGTGGCTGTAAGGAAACATGGAACTGTCTCCCGTGCAAAGCCGCTGCTTCCCGACGGACGGTGCTTTGATGACACTGACTGCTACTGAAAAGGGAAAGTTGCCCATTTCTGAGCAGTTCATCACTGCTAATTAGCCTTTGCTTTTTCAAGTTTGCTCAGCAGCTGCCTGATGCTACAAACACATCCCTTCCCTGCACCCCCCGCAGCCCTCGGGGTGTGGGGCACCCCATGGCCACGGGCAGGTCCCCGGGGGGGCTGCGGGCCCAAGGAAAGGGGAAACGGTCCCCCAAAGCATCTGGGGGGATTTCCACCAGCTCAGCTGGGCCGTGTGACTTCCAGTGGATAAGGAGCCGGCACCAGGATGAAGATGCCGTTCTGCTCCTGCTGTGGGACCTTCACTGCCCCCAAAAGTGGCCGACACAACCCCCTGCCTGGTACCCGGCAGGTCCCCGTGCACCATCCTGCCCTGCCACTGCCGGCCCCTCGCCCACAAAAACAAACTTGACCTCGGGTGCACTCGCTCTGCCTCGCCTGGGGCCACGACCAGTGACTAATTTTCGCTGCCAGAGCCCCGTGTTGACATTGAAAGGGGCGTTATCGCGAGCACTGGAGCACCGGAGCACCGGGCTGAGCGTGTACCTGTTGGTATAAGAACACGCCGCAGCGCTGCCCGCACCTGCAGAGCTCAGCCGAGTCGCCGACATGAAGCGTGCCCTCCTCCTCGCCATGCTCTGCCTCTGCCTGGCCAGCAGCTTGAAAAGGTAAGGGGGTCCCCGGGATGCATCGAGCTCCCTGGGCTCTTGGAGGGGCTTCACTCCCAGGGTCCTGCCAGAGCTGAGCATGGCAGTGATGAACGGGCAGAGCTGAGCTCCTCCAGCACAGACACCCTGCGGCTGCACGGGAGCATGGGGACCACATGGGGACCACGTGGGGCTTTGCTGGTTTAACCCCATCAGACTGTCAGCTCCGTGGCCATCTCCATCCCTCCGGGCAGACCCTGCCAGCAGCAGTGGACTGCAGCGAGATCTGCAGGATGAGCTGTTGGTTGCAGTTGAGAAAACGCCGGCATGAAGTCCTCTCTCCCAGCCTGAGGATCCTTTTCCATCAGTCATGCTGATGCCAGCTTTGCCCTTGATTTGCTGCCTCCTAACACAGATCAAGCGCCCCGTTTTGCCATACCTCAACTAGAAAGCATTGCGGCGGGGGATGCTGGGAAGCAGGGTCTGGACCTGCATCCTGGTGGCACTGGGACCCTCAGGGTGGACGTGGGGGCTGCATGATGCCAGCAGCATCTGCGGCCTCGAGTGAGTGACCAGGACCCTTGCTCCCCCAGGGTGACCCTGACGCGGCATCGCTCCCTGCGGAAGCTGCTGCGGGACCGTGGGCAGCTCTCCCACTTCTGGAAAGCCCACGGGCTCGACATGATCCGGAACAGAGAGGACTGTGCTGCCTTCACGGAGGTCAACGAGCCTCTCATCAACTACCTGGACGTAAGCGCGGAGGCACCGAGGGCCGGGGGGTACTGAGTGCCAGCAGCGTGCCGCAGACACCCCAAAGGCACATCAGTTTATACATGTGGTCCCCAGCACCCAAATGCTTTCGGTAAAGCCCACGCCCGCTATCAGAGCCTGCAGCCTGTGCCCAGCATGCCAGGGCTTGCTGCCTTCCCGCTCCTGCCTGGTCCTTTGTTCCCAGGAATGTGATGATGAGAGGGGACAAAGGGCCACATTCACGGCGGCACTGCCAGCCCCCTCCCTGCCCGCTGCACCCCCCGAGCCCGCGGCACTCTGGGGCACATGGCGAGCAGACAGATTTCCTCCCAAACTAACACGTATCGCACGCATCAGAGAAGACCCCACCACCAGGGACCCAGAGCCAGAGGTGGAGGGTGTTCCCCAGGCTCTTCCCATTGCCCAGCAGTGTGAGGGTCCTGGCCCCAAAGCCCCTGGCACTGTCTGCATCCCACTGATGAGGGTCCCCTCGGGGCCCGCCCTTCCGGCTGAATCCAGCAGGAAGAGGATGGTGCCCACACCCGCCATCCTGCCTTTTGTTCTCGCCTCGCCTTGTTGTTCCTTAAATATTTGGCTCCTTTATTTCCCCTGCCACGGTACGACCGCGACAGATCAAACATTGCCGCGGTGCTAGCCATCCCCTGCACTGAACCCCATCAGTTCTCTGCACGTGCCCCGGCACAGACTCCCCTTTTCCAGGATTTCTTGGCGTTCCGGTGGCTAATGGCTCCTCTCTTTGCTAGCTGGAGTATTTCGGGCAGATCTCCATCGGGACCCCTCCCCAGAACTTCACCGTGATATTTGACACGGGCTCCTCCAACCTCTGGGTGCCATCCATCTACTGCGTCAGCAAAGCCTGCAGTGAGTAGGGGGTCCCTGACCCACTGTCCCCTCCCGTTCGGCTGCAGCGGGACCCCAGGTGACACCCCTGGGTGAGCCCAGAGAGGCTGTGGGGTCACCAGCACACACCAACCCCCGTGGGACGTTGCAGGGACCTCCCCACCCAGCTGAGCCCTCCAAGGCACACACAGATAACAGAAACGGGGGGGCGAGCGGGGGGAGCCTCAGCGGGTTTGTTTGCTCGGGCGCAGGCGGCGATCACACCACCAGCTCCCAGCACCATCGGCCCTGTGGGAGATATGGGACGTGCTCTTTAGTCCATTCTTATGGCAGAGCCTTTAAACAAACAAGCAAAGATAACGGCACATAATGCAGCTTGTCAGCAAGGGGCTGGGTGGCAGGAACAAGGCGGGCACAGAGACCACAGCGTGGCTCCGGGCTGGCTGCCCGGGGGCTCGGCGGGTGACAAGTACCGCGCTTGTTCGAGCCG